AAAAACCTGTTTTTTGCTTTGTCATTATATTGCATGGAATGTAGATTGATGTGAAAAAAAAAAGTCATTTAAAGCAGTTTAACGTAAGGCAGCAACATAACAAAACGTGAAAAAAATTGAAGGGGTATGAATACAGATTTTGAACAGTTGCTTTGTGTCTTTCAGGCTCTGGAAATCTGTCAGCAGAGGCACTTTGTAGAAGAGACAGTCTTCCTGCTCAGTGAGTTCTGAATAATTTATCTTTGCATTTCTGTCATCAAACTTGAATGCATGTTATAGTTCTTTACACAGTAATTGATCCAGTGCAACAGAGGAGATGTCACTGTGTGTAAACTTTTCAACTGGCTGTAGCCTCTAGTGCTTCTGATGTATGCTTTTTTTTCCTGTCAGGTCGTATGGGAAACTGCAGACGTGCCCTACAAATGATCATGGAGGAGCTGGCGGATGTGGACAAGGCCATCGAGTTTGCTAAAGAGCAGGATGACAGAGAACTCTGGGACGATCTCATCTCTTACTCTATAGACAAACCACGTATGAGACCTGACTCTACAGCAGCTCTTTCTGCTAAAAAAAAATTGGAACTTACAATATTAGTAATGCTTCGTTTGTTTTCTTCACTCTAGCGTTTATCACAGGCCTCTTGAATAACATTGGAACCCATGTGGACCCCATCCTGCTCATTCACCGCATTAAAGAAGGGATGGAGATTCCTAACCTCAGAGACTCACTGGTTAAGATTCTACAAGACTACAATCTACAGGTGTGATCACTGCCGGTTAAACCAGCATTCCATTCAGACTAGAGTACTAATATAACTAGATGCTTGTTAAGATACATTTGCTTGATCATTTTGTGTTCATGGAAAGTGTTCAGAACATCTTGATGTTTGTCCTGTAGATCTTACTGAGAGAGGGCTGTAAGAAGATCCTGGTGGCAGATTCACTGTCTCTTCTACAGAGGATGCACAGGACACAGAAAAGAGGAGTGCGGGTGGATGGTAAACAAGTGTTTCGTCTTCCTGTCATCTAGGACAAAATTAATAAATATCAGGGCAAATCAGCAGCTGTTTTGTTCACTAGAAATGCTACAAAATTATTTTGCTTTTATTTCTCATAGAAGAAAACATCTGTGAATCCTGCCACACTCCTATTTTACCATCAGGTACACCCTAATGACTTTTAATGCATCCATTTGTATACATGAACACATACCCACACATGAAATATATGGAGAAATATAGAAGAAACAAAATATAAAATACAATATAGAAAAAAATTATAAACCTATTTCTTGAAAATGAATGCATATTAAATAACTACTATTATATAAGTTGTGTGTGTTTGAGTGTATATGTACAGGTGCATCTCAAAAAATGTTTATATCGTGAAAATGTAATTTTTTTGTAACTTATTTCAAAAAGTGACACTTTCATATATTCTAGATTCATTACTTGTAAAGTAAAAAATTTCAAACGTTTTTTTAATTTTTATTTTGATGATTAGAGCTTACAGCTCGTGAAAGTCAAAAATCCAGTATCTCAAAATATTAGAATATTTCCTAAGATCAATCAAAAAAAGGATTTGCAAAACAGAAAAGTTCGAGTTCTTTAAAGTATGTTCATTTATGCACTCAATACTTGGTCGGGGCTCCTTTAGCACAAATGACAGCATCAGTGAGGTGTGGCATGGAAGCGATCAGCCTGTGGCACTGCTGAGGCACTATTGAGCCTTCAGCTCGTCTGTATTGTTGGATCGACTGTTTCTCATCTTTCTCTTGAAAATATCCCATAGATTCCATATGGGGTTCAGGTCAGGCATGTTGGCTGGCCAATCAAGCACAGTAATATCATGGTCAGCAAACCACTTGGAA